CTTCGGGAAACCCGAAGACGAAGTCCATTGAAACGGACTGCCAGCACTCTGTCGGAACAGGCAGAGGCTGCAATGGCGCACGGGATGAAGGACTAGGCTTCACACGTTGACAAACCTCGCAAGTACGTATGTACTTGCGGACAAACTGATACTGGCATGGCCAGTAAAAGTCACGACTTACCGTGAGGTAAGTGTTTTCTCTACCACGATGGCCGCCTGTTGGGGCATCGTGACACTTATACATGATGCGTAATCGCAAATCATGATGAGTGGGGACGACGACACGAGACCTGACGCAGTCAACGGCTGTATAATATAACAATCCGTTGCGTGTACTATGCCGATCCGATGAGGATCGGTACAAAGCCGGTAAATTCTTCAATGATTTACTGGATGGATGCACCAGATGATCCATCAATCGCAGAAAATGCTTATCTTCCGCGTATGCCTTTCGTACGTCGTCAAGTTTACTTGACGACGGGACACTGACTGACAGTGTCGCAACAGTGGGCTTATCCTCACTGTTGACTCGGGTCGTAGGCTCGAAATCGGGCCGGCGCGAGAGCGCATCAGCGACGACGTTTAGTCGTCCTAGCTTGTACTCCACGGAGAAGTTATACTCCGCGAAGAAAGACAGCCACCTCGCCATCCTTTGCGACAGGTGTGGGCTGTTTACGGCCGTTCGTAATGACACATGGTCCGTATAGACGATGAACGGTCTATCTCCCAATAGATAGACCCGGAACTTAGCCAGTGCGTACTTCATGGCAAGGAGTTCCGTGTCATGCACTGGGTAATTGCGCTCAGCTGCTTGCAGCTGACGCGACTGATAACAGATGACGCGCTCCGCGCCATCCGAGTCGAACTGCATTAACGCACAGCCGATTGCAAAATCGCTGGCGTCACAGACCACATGAAATGGTCTGTCCTGATCTGCAATCGCCAAGATCTGCAATTGTATCAAGCTTTGGTTGATACCCTCAAAGTAACGCTGGCACTCAGCGTTCCATGACCACCTCACATTTTTCTTGAGTAACCAAGAAATATGTACCGTCATCTCGGCGTAGTTGCGCGAGTACTTGTGCAAGTACGCCTCTAGCCCAAGGAACTTCCTTAGTCCCTTGACATCGACTGGCACAGGCCAGTCGGTGATTGCCTTGATCTTTTCGGGATCAGGGCGTACGCCGTGTTTACCCACGATGCACCCAAGAAGTGGTATTTCGCTAGCCGCGAATATACACTTCTTGAGGTTTGCGTACAACTTATTCTTGCGCATAAGTTGAAGAACCTGAACAACGTGAGTTCTGTGAACTTCAACGTCCGTCTTTCCGTCCATAGCCCGGCTATGGACGAACACATCGTCGAAGTAACTCGGTGCGAAGTCTCGCACCGGTCTCAACAGATTTGTTACACATCTGTTGTTAGTAGCAGGGGCATTGCTCAGCCCCTGTGGCATCACTAGCCACTCCCACAACATACCGATGGGGGTGCTCACTGCTGTGTACGGGATGTCCCGTTTACCCATGAGGATCTGATAGAATCCATCCATCAGATCCATGGAAGAAAATATGGTGCTCTTTGACATACCATCTATGATTACGTCCTTCCTCGGTATCGGCGTCTGATCCGGTACCGTTGCAGCATTCAATTTGTTGAATGCGTGCACTATCCGCCACCCTCCTGTGGCCTTTCGCACACAGAAGGTCGGAGAGCTGTGAGGGGATGTTGATTCCCTCACATGGCCCGTTGCTAAGCTGTCGGCAAAGAACTTGTCGATCGCTAGTACTTGTTCACGAGGAAGTGGCCCCTGCTTCATGACAAAGTACTTTGAGCCCGGTTTGAGCTCGATCTCGTGTCGAGTGCCTTTGTCCTTAGGCAACTCGCAAGGCACGGATTCAGGGAATACATCCTTGAATTCGATCAAATCCTTATAAAAAGGATTTGCCTGAAGCGACTCCCAGGATTGAGACGTGTATCGCTCAATCCGAGTCTTCTCATCGAGGACACTTTCGTCCATCGATGAGCTGCTGAGAACCCGTTCGTTCTCAGTAAATACTGTTGCCGATCGAATATCGGCCACATACTCATCCTCTGTGACGAGTATGCAGATCTGCTTGGCTTTGCCACTACGCAGATCACGCAAGAACCGCTTCGGTTCCAGCGTCGGCAATTAGGTTATTTCGGAAGTGAGTTTTGGAGGCACAATCAGATCAAGGGTATAGGCGCCTACGCTTGATCCTTCATTGACCAAAACGTTCAACGTCTCGGTTTATTCCTGGGAACTTGCTTCCAAAGGTTGCTGAAGTCCTAATCCTTCAGCAAGTGACTCTTGAGGAATATCTTCCTCAAGTACGTGGGGACTTATTCCCTCGACGTCTTCCGACTGTGGCTGTGCAACCACAGTCAGTTACCGATCCTCTACGGTCGACTCTCCAGTCGACCTAGGATTTCCATGTTGCCCTTTGAAGGCAACAGGTTTCTTCTGTCTAAGATGCTGCCCGCTAGGCATGCATCCATGTCCCGGTCCACTCGACTTATTCGAGTGGTGGACCTTCGGCGCCGCCTGTACTTCTTTACAGCCGCCGGAAGCTTGCTCCACAGTGTAGTGATCAACTACACTGTGATCTTGTGCAGTCGTGCTAACGACCGAATAGTAAGTGAGGCCATCGCACCCACTCGCAGAACATCCACACGCTTGCGGACGCTCCAAGATGTTCATCATATGGCCATCTGATGAACAAGTGGCAGGCATCTTCACGGATCGATGCTGCCAGCTCACTATTGGCTCGTACTTTCTGAGCCAAGGTAATCCCAGGATGACATCAAATTTGTCATCCAGATCTAGTACGATGAAGTCATCATCGTACTGTTCGCCCTCCAACGTGTAGTGGATTCTTACTACACGTTTCTCAACGGTTATCGATGCGCCTGTTGCAAGGCGCACCGTCATCCTTGTGAGGGGAATGTCGCGCTCAACGAACTTGAGCCTACGACCCTCTAGTGACTGGCGACGAACAAAGTTGTTCGACGCCCCACAGTCTACTAGGGCACGACGCGACAAATCATTTGTCGCTTCCAACTTCAAGGTGATGAGTAATATCTCATCACCAGGTGCAGAGACACACAATGATTGTGTACCTGGATCAACTTTCGTCAAGAGATTTGCAAATTCTCTTGAGGTTGATGGATCAGTAGGGCGCTCCGCCCCTACTGACCCCGACCATTTTTTGATGGTCCGTCTCGCTGTTGCGGCCTGGCAACAGCGCTGGACCCACGCCCATTGCCCTTTCTGGCAAATGGTCGTCCATTTCGCTCAGTACTGTTTGGTACTGGGCGTGGGGCACTACACTCATATGCGTAGTGCCCTGACTTCTGACAGCGATTGCACCTATGCAATCGCTTGTTGTTCGAAGAGAGAGGTCTCTCGCTCTCAACATAGCAGAGGTCCATTGGTTCTGGACCTCCGATCTCTTGTCGTCTTGGTGGACGGTAAGAGTTTGAGCTAGCATGAGCCTGTCTCATGCTAAAGTCTTCCTGTTACGCGGCTAATATCGCTTCTTCAAGCGTATTCAGCTCAAGGAGGAACAGGTGGCTCCTGACGGGCCCTTCTGCTAGCCTTTGCATGAACACCGTAATCAACGTGTGTTCATGGACTGGGTTGGCAGTTATACTACTCGCTAGGAGTCGTATATGTTGTGCGTAAGCGTGCACATCACGCTTACCCTGCTTGAGTTTCAGGAGCTCAGAACGAACCCTGAACTCAGCCCGTGGCGGCTCAAACGTTTGTCTGAGCCCGGACTTGAAGTCATCTAGCGACCCAAATACGTTTGGGTCGCTACTCTCGAGTCCCAGGGACCAAGTTTTGGCTTGCCCTGCCAAGTGGGTCTGAGCAAATGTGAGTTTCATTTGCTCATCTTCGACGCGACGAGCCCTTAAGGCTCTGTCGAGTTCGACAAACCATAGTAACAGGAAGTCCTCCGGGACTCCACTGTACTTGGAGATGTCAACTTTCATGACCGCGGGACGACGCGCATGCGCCGTCCCGCCCACAGCAGCATGGAATTGCTACTGTATCAACAGCTCTGTCTGTTGAGCACCGAGTTCTCTCAACTACTCGGCCTGTTGAGAGCCTTGCTGGTGAAGCAAGGCTACTTTCTCCCTTTCGGCGACAAGTTCATTTTGAATGAACTTGGCTATAGTGGCATGTTGTTGGTCTCTGTTGAGAGACTCCAACATGGCGCTAATGGCGAACTCGCCTACATTAGAACTCATTCGTTCTACCGCACCCCATTCGATGTCACTCAAATGGGTAAACCCTTCACGCGTGGCGTGAAAGGTCTCTTCATCATCCAAAATGTTCATGTTGGATGTTGTGGTCCTTGGAAAGACTACGAAGTGCTAACAGGTGTAACGGGGCACACCCTTGCGTGAACTCAACGCAAGGGTTTTGGGTGCCCCGACAGACGTACACGAGGCGAACGAGGAAGCGTAGGTAAGGTAAAAGCAGAACTGTTATATTAATATAATTAAGTCTTTTTGCTACTGTCTCTTCGTTAACCTGACTTAATTATGCTAATATAACTGAGTGTATGGTGACGTCTCGTCACCACTCATTGCGCGCGTCCTGCGGCGATTAGTGAGTTGATATCATCTTGATATCAACCAATGAGCAGACCCTTTGGTCGCTTCACCAATATTACCATTATCGGTGATATTGTTCAAAGAATATTCACTTACTATTCTTTGTTGTCACTTTCTTTTAAAGTGACAATTTCCATGTAACAGGCTGCCCCGTTACACAATATGTCATCGCTTTTGCTTTGCACCTAGGTTTTAGTGTCGACAACAAGCGCCGATTGCACCCTACCAACTGTCTACTTGTAGAACCAGCTTGGCATGGCTCAAGCGATACGATGTAAAATACGAAGTAGCATCAATAGGTCCTTAGTTCGCATACTACTTGTGCTACCTCTAAGCCTTCTACAAATTTAAAACCCTCGCTACAACCGCACAATTGGCTTGGTTGGGCTGTCCCGTATAGCCTTCGTATGAAGCGCGCTCGAAGCCTTGGCAAGTTCTTCCCTGACGAAACCCTGGTACATCTGACGTAGCAACTGGGCGAGCGATTTGTCTTGGTGTTGCTCCTCAACCATTCGGATACCGTCTTCTACGAGTTCCGCTGGTTTGTTACGAAACAAAACGATCGCCGCGTCATGTGTGGTGAATGCATCTGGGTGCTTTTCACCAAACATCGTCTTGTACTTGAACCATTCAGCTAAACATTGATAGTATAAGCGATCCTCCGGCTTTTGCCAGCTTACGAGGAGTTGCTTGAAGAGGACCTCAGGGTGAACTCCAAACTCCATCCACACGTGGCTCATCAATCCCGGAGTTGACTTGATACGCAGAAGCTGCCTATGCATTCTAATATCCATGTAATCGGGATATGAAATCATTGGATACGACAACAGTAGTTTTGCCACATCCGCTGCGGGTCTATAGTCGAGCAATGTCAATACTATATCCACAGGTCTGACGTACATGTATCTCGGTATCTGTTGGCCAAAATTGTACCTCAGCATGTTTTCGAAAACCGTCGCGTCCATGGCCTTTCCGCATTTGGCAAATTTCACATACTCTTGCAGGCGGAAGTCCATCGATCGGATTATCTTCGCGTGACTTAAAATCGGGACGGTGTCCACATGCTTCGCTGGGGAGATTATTTTAATGTCTGAATGAAGTTCTTGCAGTTTCTTTGCAATCGCTTCACAGCCAGGGGTTTCGGACATTCTTTGGATCGAGGCATCGATTTCAGCCGAAGAATGATGCGGGAACATGATGCTGAACATGTCTTCATTGTCGACTGCTTTCGGGTGCACTTCTCCGAATTTACCAACGTACTCGAACAACGTGGATACAAAAGGTAGCATCTCGTCTCCCATTGAGGGATTTAAGCGCCATCCGAGGACCCTGACAAGCTTTTTGGGGTCAACTCCTGACCTCATCCATGCGTCAGACATTACTCCAAGATCGTTCTTGTAGTACACAACTAGTTTTCGATGGAGCTCATCCGCGTGGGGTCCCATGCCGAGGATCAAACGGAGCGACAGGAGCACCTTCACCACATCTGTCGGCTTTCGAAAATCCAAAAGAGCGTTGATTAACTCGTCATCTTGATCAGGCGTAAGTTTCGATGGTTGAAACTTGTTGCGTTGAAGCAAATCTGCGAGTGCCTGCGCGTCCATCGGTTTCCCGCCTCTTGCGAAATCCCGAAATTCATTGGCACGTTGAACAGTGCGATCGTCGATAATTGTCAAAAAGGGCCGGGTCACGGTTTCCGTAAGTTCTTCCTCTAGGCCGAAGTGCTCAGCATTTTTCGCAGCGTCCGTCAATTCAAGAATAGCAAAGTCCACCACCTCTGCGAGCTCGTTCTTCATCCGATCCTCGCTGTCGCGCATGGCCGTGTCGATCTCAGAGACCCGCAACTTCGCAACGGACGATGTTGGGTCTAAAGCTAATGAGCTGTCAAGATGCATTCGTTTGTACTCGGGCGTCGACTCGTTCACGCCTGTTCGACCGACTTCGAGAGCATTAGCGCCTGCTTGGTAGTAGTCTCTCAGCAAGAGCAAGATCGGCGCGGCAAATACCGGTAGCAACGCGCTATGTATATGCATAATTGATGCGCTTGGGTCCTTGCAGATTGCGAAGTGAGAGGTGTTAACAGCGCACCCTTGCGGCAGCTGAGCGTGACCTATCATTTCATTGATTTACAAAGCAGCCGGTTTGCTCGCCCCTCTTTCCTGTCCACACAGACCCAGCTGCGAGCGTTAAAATCAGGGATTATCTGGATGTTTGCCGGCTGGTACACGCACTGCGTCCATTACTTCCGCCAGTAAACCGGGATCTGGTCCATAAATGCTCCAGCGCATCTATATCTTTATCGATAAGAAGACCTGGTCTGCAACGGGGTTGAACGTCGGTTGGTAGTCGTGAATGTTTGTGTGGAATACACTATGGATAATATCCCCTCGATATGGAGTACATAGCAAATCGTGAATGAGGGCCGACTCGTGTCAGCTACCGCATAAGAGATGTTCTTTTCGTACTAATTGGTGTATGGGGGCTGACTCGTGTCAGCCACCGGAGCTTGCCCAACGCACGAAAACACGTTTGAAGCGTGCAGTGTCTTCCTAGGGCCAGTTTAGACGCCACGACAAGGCATATACGCTTGAGTACTGTGTGCTGTGTGGTTTTACGAATTGCTAGTCCCTCATACAAGGACGGCAAAGCTCTACGAGATTGTGCGACTCCGAGTTATAGTTGCCTCAGTTCCTTAAGGCTAAAAAGACTCTATGAATCGGTCCTTCAGTTCCGTCAATTAAGTGGCTCCTTGATCCTATAAGTCATCCTTTGACTCTGGAGCTAGAATAGCTCCGCTACATGGTCTGATAAGGTTTCTGACTTTAGCAGGAATGAAATGGCCAAGTGTCTGAGCCTCCACTTCCGCTTTGTTACTCATACGATCGCCAACTTTTCGACTATTGAAGTGCAAGCGCGTATGAAACTTGTGAATACAACGATTGAGAAATATGAAAAAGCAAAGGAATGGCTACGTGTGTGAGAGCGTCATGTAGACTTGCTGTGAATTAATTTATGATCTTAATATGCAATTAGCTACCCTTTCGACAGAAGAAACATGATTACAGCTTCTTCGATTGCCGCAAAGAGGTAATTCATTGTGTCACGGGGTGAGAGTCTTGCTTTGTACTTACACAACGAAAGCGTCCAGGAAGCGCTCCTATCAATAGGTAAATTGAACTCTGTTTATATGTTTCTGTTTTGTTTAATTTGTAAGAAGTACGTACGGGCGTTCTATACCTCTCGCAAACCACTTCAATGGAGATTACCATATTATTGGCCAATTATTGAGTCTGTCATCCCAAGAATAACCCAGTAACAAGGACATGCAGTATCCGCTGAACGGATACAGCCCTATTTCTACTTAAGTGCTTATGTATATTTTTACATCTACTTATGTAATAGGTTGCCCCATTACGAAGATCTATCCTGGTTGGGTAGGGGTAACGCCCTCCCAGAAGGCTTGATCTAGCTATGCTTGCTCAGGACTCTAGCGGGTGATTTTCGGCATCCGTCAGTTTTGGATGTTTTCCTCTCGCTATACACACCTCTCTCTAGCCGCTCTCCTCCCAACCACCAGCCGAGCCGCCAAGATGTACGCCGCCACGCCGGACGCCCTGAAGTCCCGACATATCCGCTTAGGTAGGTCCGCGTCATCGTTTGTTTCCGGTGCGAGCGACAGCGACCCTCCCTAGGTCCTGTTGACAAGATATATATTGAGGAATCGAAGCAAGAAACCTACCTCTTGACACCGCCGTCGAATAACCCCAGACCTGCACTTCCTCTGCCACTGTGCACAAGATCGCGCAGGCTGAGAGGCCTTCAGCGCGGCTCCTATGTCGCCCGCCGCTTCATGGGCCCTGGAGAGAATAGAGAGTAATGTATTGAAGGAAAGGTTACCCGACGTATGCGAAAGTTGAGGAACTTTGGTGTTACAACGGCTCGCCTAACGCATTACCAATACAGTCAGTTCCACATATATGTTGATTCTGTATGATGTTCTACACGTATACTAATCGACGCTGCACACTTGGTAGCCTTGTAACGGAAAAACTCGTAATTAGGAAACGATACAAGATTAGGTCTATTGTTATATTATCTTACGATTTTATGCTTCCCAATCTTCATCATACTACATGTATATTGAGAGAATATCACCTTTGAAGGTAATAACATCGCCGTATTCTACTTATTGATTAATTAAAAATAGGCCGTTATATCAGCCAAGTGAACCACCAATGGCTGCTAGACACGCGCAATGGTAATGAGCGAGTAGCTACATATGACGCTCGAATTTTAACATTATTAAGGTAATATCATATTATGTTGATTATAATCATACCCTTTGATAAACATAGGTTTGCTTTTCTCTCAGTTCAACTCGTCCCGATTATGAAACTTAGCTTTCATCTGCCCGAACAGTGTTCGTAATAATTTGGGGCACCTGCCTACGCTGTGCTATTGCTGGACGCTTGTAAACCTTTTCAGTACAATCAAATGGTTTTCTTTTCACGCGTTACAAGATGCCATACATTACGGCCCAAATTTTAATGCGTAACAGCGTTCAGTTAAAATTCGAACCTTTAAGATTTGTGATGTAGAGCCGACCTTATTTAACGACAGTAGGTTAGACTGATAGTTCATTTCTTTCACCCACCATGTGCGACATTATTAACAAAGTCATACAGGTCCTTGCCTAGCGTTTCTACGAGATATATAAGCTACTTCCTAGCAAGTCGCATAAAAGCAATGTGCTCGTGTCAGGTAGTATACTTTAAAACCTGCCAGAAAACAAAACCTTCAGGTGGTTACCGACTTGCTAAGATGAATTCAAATGAAGCATGGACATTCAATAACAACTTGTTCTGATGTTTTCTCTCTATTTGTTATATAAGCTCGTGCGCGAAAGCTTCATTGAACAATCTCCAACGCTAACGCGCACAATGCCTTAGAGCTTAGTCGCATCGAATACGCCTCCTTGAGTGAAAGGCCGTTTTTATAACATTCAACGAAGGGGCCTCGAAACATATTCCACGCCGGCTGCGCCGAGTATCTACTTTGTGCATTAATTGTGCTCGTGCATGACAAGGGTCAACTTTTTTTGCGACCAAGAACAATTCGACAGCAAGCTGTGTCCCACGCATGGCATGTGTGATGTGTAAAAAAGATACACGACCTTTCCTTTTGGTATTATTATATTATGAGGCTTGACAGTCAGGATAAAGACAACGTATGATCGATCAGCTTTCTGAATTCATATGCGATCGCAGTCCCGGCTAGGATACACGACAGTGAACGAAACGGCACAAATAAGGTACGGCTAGTAAAAACCTTGGAATGGGAGATGCAAACGAGTTCAAACGAAAAGTACACTACGTTTTTATTTTATCACCACTCGCTAAACCAGATCTATTCATCGTGACTTTGACAAGGTGGGCACCTTCTTAATACCGTGCCCAGTTGGGAAAGAAAACATATACTTGACCGTCGCCATCATCGAATCACAATGTTCTATTATGTGTAGTTCAAAATAATTTGTGCATGGTGTACATGTTAAGCTTTCATTAGACCGAAACTAGGGCTGTGATATACCATAATTTCACATATTCAGCAACAAGTCTTCTTTTAATTTTTTTGACTTAGCATGATGAAAGACACAGTTTTTAATAATAAAAACTATTTCTGCTATGTCCTGCTTTTAGGTACTGCACATTTTGCCCGCACGTCAAAATATTAAATCTCGTTGTTGTAATACGAAAATGTGATAAGTGGTTTTTTAAGTAGAACAAAACGCGCTTCGTCTAAGTACGAAATGACAAATGACTATTGATGATTGTCGCAATGGTGCCGTCGCACTTTTTAAAATTGTGTGCGATGGTTTATGCAACCAATTTTTTACCTCGAGGCGGGGTGTGATGGTATTGGGCAAGCAAATTAAGACATGCGATCCGAGGGCGCGATCACACTATCGAAACCCACGACTCACAGCCTATGATATGATTAACATATAACATGTGTAAGCAGTAAGTCTATATTATAAACGAAGATCGGGTGTGTGACCTATTGTGATAGAAACATGCTTTGCGACCGATATCCGTCGTTCAATGATATTGCGTTCGATAAAAGACAGCATCGATTGCGCGATACGCATTCCTCGATAAGGCGATCGGCCATGGATGACTAGACTACGGCGACGACAGCGCTTCAACATGTAGTCAAGATGTATCATGCAAATCTACCCGAGACCCGTGTTCTGAATTCAGCTAACTGATATCCGCTATTCATGATCCGCAATCCATGATCTGCCATTAAAGATTCATTGCCGGTAATCTTAGATCTGAAAACCTATACTACCGCCATCAAGTACAAGATCGCAGTATATCCATTGTAGAAAATCATGTACCGTATGTTGAGGTGACCACTCATCAAGATGCGCTAGTGACCCGCCATCAAGAACGAGATAGCGGTGCATTCATTAATGTGTACCAATATCGTCTCTTGGCGTGACTTTACATTCAATTCGTGATCCGCAATCAAGTATGTGATCGCGGCACGTCTATTGGTGTGCATCCACCATCCGCGATCCAAATTAATATGAGGTGAATCACGTCTCAATGGAATAAGATCTCGAAGTTAAACGACACGTGGTACATATTCGGATATACGGGAGGCATAGTGGCTGTGTTGCATATTTTAGCAATAATTAAACATATTTAATAATATTGGTAGTATACACGCGTCTACTTCTCTTTTAGGCTGTATTGTTGACCTCTCGACGATCGAATGCTTTATACAAGAGTTTCCGATTATTAAACAAGCT